GTAGACTCATATTGTAGGATTTCTTGGTTTAATCCACTATCACACACACAAAAAAAAGGAAATAAATGCAGTTTCATTTTTGAAAAAGTGTCTTGCTCATCTAAAGGAAAATGCAAGTAAGTTTTAAACCAAGCAGAGGGTTTTGGCAGTCAGTTACTTAAAGTCTTGAGACCCAGGACAAAATGTTAATCGGTGGGCCCCCTTTTTCAATGTGAAGGCTATAGCATAGTGCACTTTAGTGGGCCCCCCTTGTCACAGGGCTTGGGACAACATTCTCGGTAGCCCATCCCCCAGTGATAGCCCAGATTGCCACTGGACAGAACTTAATGTCCCACAATGACTAGAGCCCACTTACTTGCATTAAACCCAATTCTTTATGATTACAGGATGAAAAGAGCAGTATTGAATATTGTCAGCTAAAATATAATATATGATAATGTTTCTCCCCCAACAGCTCTAATAGCACTATTTGAATTCAAATACTTTGTAAATCACTGACAGAATTTCGTTGAATTTCCCTTCTGTTATTATTATTATTATTTTAGAAAATTTATTTCTACCAGTTGTATTAAATAGTGATTTATTTCTGAGCTATTGTCATGTGTAATGTCTTTACAAGGTTAATGGACATAACCTTAACAAAAGCACTTGGTGTGTGTCGTCCATGCTGCTTAGTTCACACTGCCCCCTAGTGAATGAAAACGGAATGCATCACGGCTGCCACAAGTGTGTGTGTGTGTGTGTGTGTGTGTGTGTGTGTGTGTGTGTGTGTGTTTGAGTGAATATTTGTGATATTATAAATACCTGTCTGTCTCCTTGGCATTTTCATTTAAATCCTGGTGCTCTGTGATTGGTGCTGTCATGTGCCACTCATGAAAATGACAGGCCTCTTGATGAATAGAGCCCTCAACAGACAGACAATCTATCTCTGTCTAGCCTGACCTCACTGTGTGGACACACACACACACACACACACACAAACACACACACACACACACACACACACACACACACACACACACACACACACAAACACACACACACAAACACACTTACACACAGTTGATGACTCTTATGGTCAGTGTCTAGTTTTTGGAGACTCAGTGTCTGTCTCCTATTATGATTGACGGCTAAGGAATTTGACTGACAGGTCTGGCTAACTGAACTGGCTATTAACAATCTGTAAGGGTCCCATGCTGTGTTTGTGTGAGAGAGGAAAGTGCGGGTGTACGTCTATAAATGAGAGGCTTGTCTTTGAGGGTCTGCTTTGCGTGAGGGAAGACACTTCATTAAAGTCACCCCCTATGGAGACGCACACACAGAAACCCGCACATATGCACACTCCATGGGTGCAAAGGTCAACCCGTGGGACCCCCTGAATGGTGATTTGATCACATGCCTTGCTCTTAAAATCTGATCATGTGACCCTTGGAGGAAAAAAAACCCAAGTGTTTTGTTAACTGCTATTAAAGTAATTGATATTCATTGAAATGAATAAGATAATTGGTCATCATAATTAGTGCAGGTGGGCTCTTCATAACTCTTCATTATATTAATACTCACAGTGAGAGTGAGCATATGCGTTGATTCGTTTAACTTCTCTGCGCTTTATTGTGTCTTGTATGAGTTTTTTTCCCACAGCAGGAGTAAAGAAAAAGCAAAAGTGACAGAAAGTGAAGGACGGAGAGCAGGATGAAAGCAAGGATTAAGCTTCTGTTCGTTTTTGTTCATTTAATGAAAAGAGGAAGAGAGCGAGTGAAGCACTTCCTCTAAAGGTGCTCAGGGGTCATCATTTAACCCTCTTTCTTTTGCTTTTATCCTTCAGTTCTTTCTTTGCACCCGATGTCCTACTGAGTGTTCTATACTATGTTGCCACTGAAGTTGTATAGTGTGTGTGAGTGTGCAGTAAATTTGGACCTTGTGGGGACATTTTATTTGGTCACCATGCAGAAAAAAGCTCAGAAATCACACCGAATTAAGTATTTTAGAAGTTTGAAAATGATTATGTCTTTTCAGGGTTGGGTTTCAGGGGAAGAGTTGGATAGAAAATACAGTATAAAAAATCATTACATTTAAGAGCTTCATACACATAGACTTTTACTTGGGTGGGCCACCCAGGTATACTGTATTAATGGCCACCCAAGAATATTTAGTGACATGTTTTTTTACTATTATTATCATGTCTTTACACTATTTTGTATCTGCCTTATTTAACCAAACATCCGCAATCGATTAAGTTGTAGAAAATCTTCTCTCTTTTACAAGTTTCGTTCTGTGTACGTGAACAACACTCCAACACTCCCACAAACAGTGTCACGTTTTCTGTAGACACACAGAGACGCTCCTTTTTGGCACTTAAAAAATTAGTCTGGCTGGGGTTTCTAAATCTCCTAAAATGTCTGGGATTTGGCTTTTGCTTTTTAAAGCTGTTGTTCACTAAGCATGTGTTTTTGCAGTACTTTTTTGCCTACTTTTACTTGGCTTTGCAGCTGACTGGGGATGAGAAACATTCAATAGTTCATTCTTGAATCTAAACGACAAAAAAGTTTTGTATTTACTTAGAGAAGACCAAATGACTGGTCTAAACTGGTTGCAAAATAACATAAATATATTTCTCTGTTGCTAATTATTTTATTATTTTGATGATGCCATTAGGCTATTTTACATAGGCTATTTTATATACATATCTAAAATGCACGTGGCTCCTAAATAGCAAATAAGTAAGAAGAATAGTGGATTTCTTTTTTTTTCTCAACAGTATTTTTTAATCCATTGAAAAGAAACAGTGTCCAACAGTGTCATAATAATTAAAATTATTGTTACAATTTTAATCAGGTTTTGTTTGTCGCATATAGTTAACTGTTTATGTGATGTAGATGAATGGTGTGTTTCAATCCGGCTACCAATCCAAGTACAGTATATTTCAAACCTATAGGAAGCATTTCATCTATAGGATAAATAGCTGTAACCAGTTTATAGCTGTACAATACAAATGTATGTGTGTGTATGTGTGTGTGTCCTGTCTGCGTGTGAGAGAGAGAGAGAGCTGTCCCCAGTTGTTGAGCCCACCTCCCACTATGTCTTTGAGTGTGTGGTGCTTTATTTTGATTTTAGTAACCCTGTTGAACTGGGAACAGGCTTTTTAATTGTTTGATTTACATGGTGTGATTGTCTTTGCCTAAATTCGTCTCACTCTCATCTGGTTGACAGCTGGAATGTTTGTGCTGTAATCCAGAAGTACTTTTGATCTCATAAATGTGCACACAGACGCCATGTCGGTGTCCTGTACAGGCGCAGATGAACCTGATTAAAGATGATTCCCATTCAGTTCATGCTCAGGTCATGTCAAGATGACATTTTAAAGAGCGCTGAATACTTACCCAGGCTGTTTAAATGTCTGCTTTCATGCCTGAAGAAGTTGGAGCTTCTGTTAAAAATATTGGTTTAGTGTCATAACTATATTTGTGTGTGTGTGTGTGTGTGCGCGCGTGCGTGCGTGTGTGTGTGTTTCATATAAATAAAATGTCTAAAAATGTATATATATATATATATATATATATATATATATATAGTGTTCTCATTGTAATCTCATAATTGTTCATATTTCACATCAAGTATGTTATCTACAATAGACCAAACATACATTTTCTTTGATTTGCATTGAATGAAAAACACAGTACTGACATATTAACAAAAATGTAAACACAATACGCACATACAACATCTGAAGCATTAATTATTTATATAAAAGCTTTACATGCTTTCTAAATATAACAAAAATGGTCATAAACCTTTATGATAATGTTCACTTGTCTTTTGAATGCCAGTGCAATTAAATCTTCAATGACTCTCATCTTCTTCATCAAAGATTGTGTCTTTGAAGTACAAATGCACACCATCACAAAGTGCATCAGGATTATATTTTCATTTTGCATTTATATTATTGTATTTTGCAACAAAGAACATTAAGTTATTAATTTATCTATCATTTTTTTATTGATTGTGTTAATCACAATGTTTCATTGTTTTGCTTTAATTTAGTAGCTGGTTGGTTTGGCGCATGATGTCTTAGATACTTTGTTGTAATGTAAAATCCTCAGCATTTGCCTTTTTTGTATTATTTTAAGTTCTGGTTGCTCTTTTACATGTATGGAGAATTGAATATTTATCAAGTTACTAAAACAGAAAAAAACAGACATATTCACTAGATAGAACATAAAACTGATATAATCTATTTAAGTTTATTTATTGTTTGTTCTAAAACGATAACAGACTGATTAGAACAGACATATAAATATTATCTTGGAAAAAGGTTGGAGTCAAAATAGAGCCAACAAATTAATCCTTTAAACATCCAAATAAATAAATCAGACGCTAATAGTTATCACTAATACACATTTTTTTTATGAGATTAACAACTTTATTTTGAAGACTAGAATGTTCTTAAAATCTTTTTTGCAAACACGTTTTTATCTTTTGTGTTGTAAGGAAGGTCATATAATTCAGACATAACATGAGAAAAGACAGAATAGTGTATGTGTGTGAATGCTAGAGAGTACGGGTTTTTCCTAGTGTTGAGTTGCGGATGGAAGTGCTTCCGCTGTGTAAAACATTTGCTTGATAAGTTGGCGGTTCATTCTGCTGTGGCGACCCCTGATTAATAAAAGGACTAAGCTGAAAAGAAAATGAATGAATGAATGAATGAACAGACGGACGGACGGACGAACTTTTGATTGAATGAATGAATGAATGAATGAATGAATGAATGAATGAATGAATGGATGAATGAATAAATGAATGAACTAAGATAAATGTTACCATCTGACATTCAGAGGCTTTACATTCCTTTGTTTTTTTTTTTTGAAGAATTCACACTTACCACAACAACTGCAATGATGGAAAAATAGTGTACTCTCTGCCTTAAAGAGACCTGTAGATCATCCTAATGCATCCTTCATAACTGACTGTGACTGTTAATGTTCTTTCTCTTTATTTGCCAGGGACCTGAGTGAAAATCAAATCCAGGGGATTCCCAGAAAAGCCTTCAGAGGATCTACAGAGATCAAAAACCTGTGAGTGTTCTGTGTATACTGTATATGTGTAAAAGAGAGAGGGAAATAGAGCTTTACATTAATGATAGTGTGCGTTAATGAGGTGCCCCGGCAAACTGACCATCATGAACACACACACACACACACACACACACACATATATACGCACACAGATGGGAGGAGTGGGCAGCGCAGGTACTGTAGACAATAGTGGAGGAGAGCACAGCAGACACAGTGTGGAGGCAGGAAACTGGAGGACAGAGAAAGAGAAAAAGACAGTGACAACAAAATGAGAGAGAGAGACAAGAAAGACAGACTGAAGGATGGAAGCGTGAAACATGCAAGTTGTTTATTAGTAAGGATCAGTATTGTTTCTGAGAGTGTTTTACTCTATTACCATATTCTGTGAGCACCAAACAAAAAAAGCGACAACAACATCTTCAAATTTTTTTTTTTCTCTGTGATTTTCTCTCTCAGGCAGCTGGACTATAATCAGATTTCCTGCATTGAAGATGGAGCGTTCAGAGCTCTGCGGGACTTAGAAGTACTGTAAGTGCACTATGTGTGAGTGTGTGTGTGTGTGAGAGACTGTTGAATAAAATCCAACCATAGAGATGTTTTTAAAAATCAAGATTTTATTAGACTTGGGTCAAAGCGGGGCCACACAGGTTTGAGAATGTTCCAGAAACTTTGTTTGATTTAGATTGAAATAGAGATGAGAAAATTGTATATTGGTGTAAAGTTGGTGTGCATTTCTCTGTACGTTGACGGCATGCTGTGTGCTCGGCTGTCAGATCATACCTGCAGGGTGTTTATATAATGATTATATAAAACTCATATCGGCTTTTTAAAGTAGGATTAGAGGAATAATCCTGTTAGCGGATGGATTTAAGATATACAAATGAGTGTGTCAAAATGCTTGTTTTTGAATTGTTTGATGCTTTGTGACAATTGGACAGAAGAGGCTTTAGGAGCTTTTCTTTTTAATAGCAGATGTGCTCAGAATATATTTCAAAGCATTGTTTTGTGTGTGGGACATAACGGTGGCAGAGTGGGTAGCACGATCGCCTGACAGCAAGAAGGTTGCTGGTTTGAGCCTCGGCTGCATCAGTTGGTATTTCTGTGTGAAGTTTGCATGTTCTCCCTGTGATCGTGTGGGTTTCCTCCGGGTGCTCCGGTTTCCCCCACAGTCCAAAGACACGCACTATAGGTGAATTAGGTAAGCCCCAAAGAATTGTCCGTAGTGTATGTGTGTAAATGAGTGTGTATGGATGTTTCCCAGTGATGGGTTGCAGCTGGAAGGGCATCCGCTGCGTAAAGTTGGTGGTTTGTTCCGCTGTGGCGAACCCGGATTAATAAAGGGACTAAGGTGAAAAGAAAATGAATGAATGAATTTGTGTGTGTGTGTGTGTGTGTGGAATACAAACTTATTTGCATAATTGTTTAAAATGCTCTTTTATTATTATGACTGTTAATGGGGATCAGCAGTAGGCAGAGTTCACGTTCAAGGGTCATCATTCACTTTCGATGTTTGAAACTGGACATTCTACTAGCAAAAAAACTAGGAACCAATATGACAAAAATGTATTTATTTTTTTAAATGGAATTGTCCCTCTTTATTGTATATGCTGGTTCTCTAAATATAACTACACTGTAAAATTCAACAGTCAACTTCAACTTTAAACTATCAAATGAAAGGTGAAATTTAAAATTTACTGAAAGTTAAATCTTATTATTTGAAAAGAGTTTTGAACTCAGTGTTGAAGGTATTGCATTAATTAAATACCTCATTACTTCAGCTTAAATGGATTAAGTTCACAGTACTCATACAGATTAGTTTTTTCCTCAATCAGTTTGAGTTGCCCAGACTTTTTTAGGTTTTACAGTACTCAGTTGGTTTTAAGTTCTCTTCATTGATTGGGTTTTACTGTGCTCAAATTGCTTCGTTTACTCAAATGGATTAAGTTTTTCAGTACTCAGGATCAGTTCTTGAACTTAAGTGGTTTAATGCAATTGCTTTGAGTTACCTTAACTTTTTGGGTTTCACAGTGTATAGAATGAATGTTTTCTATCTCTATCTTTGTTTCACAGCACACTGAACAACAACAATATCTCTCGTTTGTCAGTGGCCAGTTTTAACCACATGCCCAAGCTCAGGACATTGTGAGTAATTTACAAGCACACACAACGCATGCACACACACTCTTTCTCTCTATTCTATCACACACACACACACACACACACACACACATCACATTAAACCACATTAAAGCAGTTCTTCAGACTATCGTTAGCATGTTATCCAGCACTTATCATGCTGGCCCTTAATAACTGTGATTATAAGGAAATAAGGTTTAATAAGTGCATTAATATGTATGTTTCATTAGCATACATTTCATAGATTGGAGTTCTTTGTGTGCGATCATGATTTAATTCCATTTGCGTGATGAGCTAAAGTAGCTAATTGCTATATTTGTATTCTGGACCTTGTTAGCTAAACGTCAGCAGTAGATGATGGAAAGAAAGGCAGCGTGCAGCAAGATAGGAAAGTGTGAAATGTCAGTCTTTGCGATCATGCCATTGAATAGTTTGGTACTAAATCATCTTATGTTCTGTTGCCATACATCCAACATAGGCTTATTCTGAGAATACAGCCGTACATACATTTCTGGGGATTTTGAATATGTAGCCAGAAGTATGTTTGGCAGGAACACTATGACGCCGTTCCTTTTCACACTTACCAACTGACTGCTTACCTGCATAAGGATGGCTTTCCCGTTGTTACCAGTTTGTTTAGTAGCTCGCCATGTACATTGACAGACTTGAGACACAGGAAGGAGTTGATCATGGCGATGATATTCGAGTCTGGTAAAGAACGGCAGACAAAAATAGAAGCCAAAAAATAAAATAAACAAGTAAATAACAGGACGAGAATGTGGTAAAATCTGAAAATATGGTAAAAATTAGGCGAGGGCTTTTCTTTTTCTGAATTGCTTTTTAAAACTGATGATTGGATTAAGGGAAGTGGGTGGGCGAGTCAATCCATGCTTTTGAAAACACTATTGGCTGGGTTTAAGGAGGCAGGAGGGTGGGTCAGTTGATCGGTCAGTCAGTCAGTCAGTCAGTCAGTCAGTCAGTCAGTCAGTCGACAGCGGCCTCTGGTGGATTTACACAAGAACAGCAGGCACGAATGGCACTCATGAGAGTAATTTGAGATCTGAAAAAGCATACACAGACCTTTTTAAATTTTGTTAAAATATATATAATTAACCACTATCAAATAAGTTTAGTAAGAACAATTACTGAACCTAAAAAATCTTATAAAAAAAATAAAAGTCCAATAGAAGTTTTGAAAAATCACAGTTGGCATTTCTGTGTGGAGTTTAAATGTTCTCCCCGTGTTCGCGGCGGTTTCCTCCGTGTGCTTTGGTTTCCCCCACAGTCCAAAGAAATGGGTGAATTAGATAACAAAACTGGCCATAGTGTCTGAGTGTAAATGTAAAAGTGTATGGATGTTTCCCAGTACTGGGTTGCAGCCGAAGTGCATCCGCTACGTAAAACATGTTGTTGGTTCATTCCGCTGTGGCAACCCCTGATAAATAAGGGACTAAGCAGAAGGAAAATGAATAGCTGTCAGTTCATTCTGCTGTGGCAACCCCTGATTAATAAGGGACTAAGCCGAAAGAAATTGAATGAATGAATGAATGATGAATTACTGTATAAAATAATGTAAAATATATATTATTAAACATTATTATGTCTCACTATCTTTGTTTTCAATTTCTGGGTATCATATTGATAATTTATCTTTATATTATTTTAACATCATTTTAACATTAATTTTTCATGTTAGAAAATATTACAACAGATTTTTACAAATGTGGTGCGAATTTGGTTGTAACATTAATCTTATTAGGGGAAGGACTGCTAAAGATGCTGACTACACAGAAACACCAGAGGCAACAGAGAAATCACTGTTGTTTGCAAGTATAAGACAGCAATTAATAAACATGAAACTGTGTGATGGAAAGTTGATAAGATTTACACACACTTACAAACACACACACACACACACACGCACACACACACACACACACACACATATATATATATATATATATATATATATATATATATATATATATATATATATATATATATATATATATATATATACGCACAGGTTGTGTTGATATATTAGCTCCGACTGCAAGCAGACCTTCAAATAACTCTTTTTTTTTTTTTTCTTGCATCTGTCCAGTCGCCTGCACTCTAATAATCTGCTATGTGATTGCAATGTGGCCTGGCTCTCTGATTGGCTGAGACAGAGGCCCCGCCTTGGCCTCTACACACAGTGTATGGCTCCACCCTCCCTTAGGGGCCACAACATCGCAGAGGTTCAGAAGAAAGAGTTTATGTGTACAGGTGAGTTTCTGACTGTTTTACTTACCCAGCATGTTTATAGGAGACATGTCATATGAGAATAAAGAGACAAACATTTATAAATACATACATTTGCTGTTTTTTGTAGAGCCTTTCATATTCTGTCATATTCATTTTTTTTTAACTGTTATCTTTCTTTGCTCATGCTTTCAAGACTTCAGTGAAGGCAAGTTATTTTGGGCTGAAATAACACGAGTAAAAAAAATCAGATTGCATTTAGTTTCTAATATGCAGCCCACAACTTGTTTGCTTAAGCTTTTATTAAAATTTAACTAATCTTTGTGAGACATACAGTACAATATGTGTCTGCATTCTCATCATCATCTGTTTGTGTGTATGTGTGTTTTAGGGCCCCAGTCACACTCATCCTGTAGTGTGCTGCAGTGTCCTGAGCTCTGCACCTGCAGTAATAATGTAGTGGACTGCCGGGGGAAAGGACTTACTGAAATACCCACCAACCTGCCAGAAACTATCACTGAGATGTGAGTGAAGAGCAGATAGAAGGGCACACACATTCTCATTTGCTTCTCTTGCTTAGTACATTATACTAATTATAATAAAATTTAATTATAAACATAACTTAAATACTAATTTTCATATCATCTTATCTTATCTTATCTTATATTATATTATATTATATTATATTATATTATATTAAATTATATTATATTATATTATATTATATTATAAATGCTTTGAATGTATATTTTTATATGTATATTAACTTATTTGTATATGTATATTAACTTTTACATTAACTTTTACAGATTTGTAGGTCTGAAACACAGACACACACTTGAGGTTTCCATGTAGACTTTTTTGACAGATATAGTTTTCATACAGACATAAACAGACACACACACACACACACATACACAGAGAGAGAGAAAGAATGAAAGAGAGGCCTGCTGAATGTGTATCAAATATTTTAACCACGGAGGCCATGCTGAAGTCATGCGCATTAATTCAGTGTGGAAATGGATTTATTTTATCAATGGCATCTCTTCTGAGGGCCAGCGCTCTGCCAACGGGGCCTGGATTGAGATGCCTCATCATTTTTTTGTTGTGCCTCTCATTGCCAGGGTCATTGTCTGTCTTTTTTCTTCCCTTCTTTCTCTTTCTGTCATCTCTTCATTTTTCATCCTCTGAAAGCCGCATGCCGGGCCTTGGCAGATGAGTCGGATTATCTCATTTGGCTCCGGTTGAATGAAATGTGTGTGTATGCGTGTGTTCATCCACCTATGCAAGGGCTTGATTTTCATGCTCTGTCAACTTTGGAGAGCTTATCTGATTTATGACATATTTACTGTCAAAGAGAAGAACAGATATGTAAAGAGAGAGAGTGCCACCACAAGTGCGAGAGGTGTTATAAATATACATGGCTTGTTTTATGTTAGAAAACGAGATATAAGATAATTGCTCTTAGTTAATTAAAGCTGTCATGACAATGCAGTTAAGAAACCTACAACTGATGTTGTTTTTTATACTCATCAAAAATGAAATTAGCTTAAATGTGTAATGTTTAATGTGTAAAAAGCAGCAAGTGAGACAACAGCTATAAGAAATTAAGTCAAAATTAATGGTAAAATGCTTAAACTTTTGGTAAAATAAAATGGAAATCTGTGTCCACGCTCAAACTTACTACATTGTTTTAATCCATGGAAACGAATCATCATAATAATCATATTTTTTTATTAAAGCATGCAGATATGTAAGCAGCAGCAGGCTTCAGATATTATACAATAATACAATTGAGGAAAAAATGTGTAAACAGAGTTTCTAAGTGAACAGGCTCCATTATCTGACCAATGTTATGTCAATTACAAAAGCTTGTACAGTATAAGGCTGACACAGTACTGTTTTTCTTTAGGCATAAGCATTTCTAAATAAATAATAATAATAAAAAAACATTGAAAAAAGTATAGAATACTGAGACAATGTTTAAATGTCTATGTTTAGAAGTGTGCTGATAATTAAATTTTCATGAAACGGAGATGTTGGATTCATTCTTAGTCTGACAGAAGCAGACAGCCAACCGGACATGAGCTCTGCCTAAGAGCAAACAGACACAGCTGCTACTAGTGGTGGCCAAAATTCTGTGTCATGGTATGAGTAATTTTATTTCACGGTAATGCTATATATCATAGTATAGTTATGTATGTATGTAATTATTTTGGAAAGTTGACAAAAAAGCACTTTAAAAATTAGGATTAAAAAAATTGATTAATTAAATGTTCAGCTATAAAATTGATAACACCTGAGAAACAGGAAAACACGTAAAGAAAGTGTAGAACTAAATAATTATTTGTGGATTAAATTTGTTAAACTTTCTCAAACATTTATAGACACCTATATACATTATTATTATTATTATTATTATTATTATTATTATTATTATTATTATTATCATTATTATTATTATACTGTAACCATTTACAATAAGTAACGGTTTCAAAAGTTAATGTTAGTTAGTGTACATAAACAAACAATGAGCAGCATATTTATTCAGTGTTTATTCATTCATTCATTTTTCTTTAGCTTAAACACTTATTTATCAGGGGTTGCCACAGTGGAATGAACTGCCAACTTTTCCAGCATAGGTTTTATGCACAGGGTGTCCACTGGGTCTTAAAAATGTAAATAAATCAATGTAGAGAAATGTAAGGCTTTTAAAAGTATTAAAAAGTTTTAAATGCTATTTTGTAAGGTATTAATTTTTAATATAATTTTTGTTTATGTAGTGTATGGTTATATGATAAAGTTTGCTTGAATTC